TTTTTTTTTTTAATGTTTGTTAATATTTGTTTCATGTGGTTGGATGAATCTGAGTTTGGTGCATAAATATTTATGAGTATTAGTGTTTCTTGGAGTTTTCCCTTGACAAGTACACAGTGATCCTCTTAGTCTCTTTTAATCAGTTTTAGCTTAATTTTTGCATTATCTGCAAATAGTAAAGTTACAAAAAGTTTCTTTTTTCTGGTTTCCTGTGGCATGGAGAATTGTTTTCCAATCTTTGACTATTAGTGTGTGAATTTCTTTTTGAGTTAAATGTGTTTTTTGAATGAAGCGTGTTTTTAGATTTTGCTCCTTGGTCCATTCTGCCAGTTTGTTTCTATTTTATTTTTTCAGTCTGTTTCTTTTAATTGACGATTTGAGACATTTAATTTGATGGGTACAACTGATATATATTGGCTTTTCTTTTTCTAGTTTTCCTCTCTTTCTTTTCTGTTTAATTTCTACCCTATCTGGAAGCTTTTTTCTATTGATGTTCCTGTGTTTGTCATCTACATTGTCTCTTCCTAATATGTACTTCAGAGCATTCTGAAGAGCTGGTTTGGTGGTCACATTTTTTTTTTTTTTTTTTTTTTTTTTTTGTGCCAGAGATTGAATTCATAGTCTTGTGCTTATCAGGCAGGCGCTTAAGAGGCTGAGCTAAATCCCCTGCCTGATGGTCACAAATTTCTTCAATTGTTCTTTGTCATTTAAGTATCTTATTTCTATATCAATTTTGAAAGATACTTTCTCAGGGTACATCAATCTGGGTTGAATATTGTTTTCATTTAGGGCTTGAAATATTTCACTCTAAGCTCTTCTTGATTTCAGTTTGTCTTGAGAGGTCTATTGTGATTCTGATGGACTTTCCTTTATAGGTTAATATGTTTCTTTTCTCAAGCTACTTTTAAATTTTTGTTCTTGTGCTGAACTTCTGAAATCTTAATTATTATATGCCTTGGTGTAGATCTATTTTTGTCATTTGTATTTACAGTTCTACATACTTCATTTATTTGAATGTCAAATCCTTTATTTATGTTTGGTTTTAATGGCTTTTGTGCTGTCTCCAGCTTTCTTGCTAATTTAAATCCATCTTATTTTGTTCTTCTTTGCTTCATTCTGTAGCTGTTGATTGATTTTAATAATTTCTTGCAATTTTTGAGATACCTTTCTTTTCCTAGGCAGTAGATGTATTCCTCTCTTTTAGATCTGATGGTCTATCCTCGCCTATTCAATCTGTTTCATATACTTTCAGTGGAGAAATCTGCATTTCTCTTTGGATCTGTTTCATTCATTCCACTTCTTGTCTGTGTTTGGCATTTATGGTCCATCATTTTCCTGAGCTCTGCTATTTGTTTGTCTGTATCTGCTTTAATGTCTTTTATTTTGACATTATTTTATTTTGTCATTTCTTTTTGCACTATAGAGAATGTATTTTCTGTAGCCCGTTCCATTTTATTTATTTTTTTGCATTGGTTGATGCTATTGTTTCAGTACTATCGTGATGGTCATGATCCTTTACAATCACAGTGTTGTCATGCAGGGGAAAGCTAGTTCTAACATTTATAACATCCTCCTAAAGTAGTTCACTTGGCAATAACAATAGAGTTGAGTACAGCCTGGCTACTGACAAACTGGTAACTATTAGTCTGATAACCATAGGCTGAAAGTCTACAAAAATATATTGTAATCCAATTTATCCTAAGAAGTTGTATGCAATGATTTTCCACTTAGAAAAATCATTTTACTCTGTTGCCTGTTGGGGGAATGTCATAAGGTTACGGGATAGGATGGAGAGATGAGTGAGGTTAAATAGAGTAAGACCAAGTTTGAAGGCTATAGGATAATCATCCCGGTTTTAGATCATTGTACGGCACAGGAGGGAAAGATTGGAACGGAAGGCCTAGGATTTTTGAAGTGAATCAGAAAGAGAAGAGACAATGTTTACTCACATCAAAGTATCATGAAGTCATTGCTTCTCGGCCTTTTGGCAAAGATCAAGTGCAAAGTATCACAAAGTCAAGTGAGATAGTTGATGAATGAGAATAAAAAGATGAATAGAGTAAAGTAAAAAAAAAAATATTGCTATTGTTGCAAGGGATCCCTAGTTCCACCTGCTCTTCGTGTGTACCTTAGCCAGGTCCTACTGTGTCGCTGGATTTCTGCATGTCTCTGAGCCGAGTCCCATCAGTGGAGGTGGGGGGTGGATTCATGCTTCCCTTGCCAGCTGTGCCATCCTGGGACTATGAGGGAAGGGAGGTGCTAAATTCAGAGTCCTCTCGCCAGCCACTGAAACCCAAGATAATCCCAAGTGATTATTAAAGCAAAATATATAATTAGATTTCTTTGGGTGTCTAAGGCTGCAATTATTAAAGGACTCATTCTGTTTGTTCTCTTTGATGACTTTTCCATTGAGTAGCAGATTCTGTCCTTTTCTAGCCTCTTTTCTTTCTCTTGCTTCCTCCCTGCCTCTCTCCTCTTCTCTACATTCACCCTTCTTTCTCTTTCCAGGTTTGGCTCTTCTTTCATTGCTTCCTTTTTCTCCCTTCCTTTCATATTCTTTTATGTTCTATTCTCTCTCATACTTACTGTATTCCTGGCACATCAAATACTCCATCTTGTATGTTTTTCAAAATACTATGATGAGTAAATATTTTAATTATATGGCACATGGTTTTGAAAAGTGAGGTGCTTTGGAGAGGACCAGCACCTTACCCAAAGTTATATGGAAAATGATTCAGGTCTGTTTGATAGAAATTTGTGCCTTTTTTTTTTGTTGTTGTTTTGTTTTGTTTTTCAAGAGAAAAAGAATTGGGCTCAGCAAACTTTGGAAACAGGCAGTGGTCCTTGGCAGAAGTGAATATGGGGAGCAGTTCTGCCTGCCTAATAGTGTCCAGTAATCAGAGAGGAGAGCAGAGAGGAGGAGCTCAGAAAAGGTGCAAGGCCAAAGTCATGCTTCCATGACCCGCTTCCTTCAATGTGCCCCACCTTCTAAATCATCACCTCCCAATAACCTATCACATTATCAATCCATCAGTGGATGAATCCGCTTATGATGCGGCAGACTTCATGATCCTGTCCCCTTCCAAAAGCACTTAGCATGGGGCTTTTAGGGGCTATCTCTGGGCTGGATCATCCCTGTGCTGGCTTTGCTACTGATGGACACAAGTAGAAATGTAACACGGCCTCTGACTTCACTCAACTGTTAAGCTGCTGAAGTCATACAATTAAAATCTGCAGAGATTTCATAAAAATATGATAGCATATTGTTTCCATGGAAATGTGTACACCAGTCTGTACACACACACCACATAGGTGCACATGCACACATAAATATATACACAGCAGTACTAGTGACTGAACCTAGATGAGATTAGAGGTGTGCACCACCATACCTACTATGTGTTGATATTTTATAGAAAACAAAGAACTCATGTACAAAAGCACATCCACACACACAGACACAAACAAACAAGCATTCCACCACTTCCACAGGTACGTTTGTTGGTAGACAGAGGTGTAGTGATAGACACATAAGAGAGAGCTTCTCTAAGTCAAAGTAGAGAGAAAACCAGCAGCGAGAGAAGATCAAGTTAGGGGCTGGCTGCAATCCAACAGGAAATCGGTTCCAGAAACATGTTCTGTTATGTCGTCCATCAGTACTGTTGAATTGGTTCATGTCACACCGAACAGACTTCTGGTTATGCTGCCAGATTCCCTCCCACTCAACATATGCGCCCTTTTACTACAGACCAGTGGATTTCAAGGGGAGAGGAGCAGGGAGAGTATTTTTTAAAAACACATAGATGCTGTTTCTCAAGGTGGACATTGAAATCATCAGCCATTTTTTTATTTACTCTTATTTTCAAATTAAAATTATTTCTTCAGTTTTCTCATATATACAAAGGTGAATGGATACATGTTTGGTAGTTGTTAGAAATTTTTAAGAAATAGCAGTTTAGCCAATTTGATAATTATGTTACTTGGGTCATGTATAAAAAGCCAGCTTTCTATTTGAATAATTTCTTCCTACTTCCTAGTATCTATCTCTAGTTTGCTCAAATGGGAAGGAGAACAAAGGATGATGGGCAAGAGGAAAAACAGGGAACAAAGGCAAAAAGGATTCAAAGGCAAAAAAAAAAAAATAAATTAAATTAAATTAAAAAAAAAAAAAAAAAAAAAAAAGACATTGAAGTAAAAGTGGAGGGGCCCGGGGACTTAGCTCAGTGGTATAGCACCTGCCTGAAAAATGTGATGTCCTGAATTCAAATCCTAGTACAAAAATAAAATCAACTGAAAAAATTGGAAATAGAACTTCTGTTCATGGGAAGAGAGGAAAAGATTGGAGAAAAGGAAAAGGAAGAGGATTAAAATAAATGATCATGATGTGTTTCTGTCCATGTATGAATTCCCCATAACAGACAGGTTCATTACGTACTGACAGTGTATTAATAAAAAGTCAGATTTTATTATGTTTTAAAAATCCTATACTTTTAAAATTTTGATCTATTCACCCTTTTAATCACTGGAGTTTTTTTTTTTTTTTTTCAGGTTTTGAGGAAATTGACAGCAGATTGGTGTAGTCCTATATTTAATTAGTTACGGTTGATTTTTGAGCTGTCATTCTCAAGGAAAATACAACGCCTGGCTTAGTGTGATACATCTGTATTTATCTCTTTTTTTACACATGCATCTATGTACCTACCTGTCCATCCATGCATCTACCTGTCACTTATCCAAGTCTACACACACAGATACACACACACACACACACACACACACACACACACACACACAGAAGGTTGGGGAAGACCAAAATTCTCAAAGATCAAAGTCAGCTTTTATATTCGTCTCTGACATCACATTATCAATCTCCTCTTCAGAGCAGGAGGTTTTATGTTCTAGCTTCACGGGGGGGGGGGGGGGGCTTGTTCCAGAGCTCTGTCCTCTCTCCGCGCCAGTGTACCATGCTTTCTCCATGATCATTTAACTGACATTTCCAGGTCACTTGCTGGATGCTCAGGTCCTGATCTTTCTGCCTGTGGCCCTGCCCTTGAGGAGTGTTCATTCTCCTGGGAGGAGAAAACAAATTGCACTCTGATAACCTGCAGACAAAGCAAGCAAGGAAACTTGTGTTATTCAAACATTTTCTTCCAGGTCAGTTACTGTGCTATGCATTTTATGAGTTTTTCAATTTAATGGTCACTGTGGTTCTGGGTAGTGGATATTATTATTTTTTACTTTACTTATGTAAAAACTAAGCTTCAAAGAATTTATGGTTTCAGTGAGCCTTCAGTGGCCGGTACTTTCAAATTAGTATAATTCAAATAAAGCTTAAGAAAGGTCAGCTCTTGCAAAGTGAAGGTGATTTGCTGAAATACAATGATTCATACAATACATAAACCAGGGCTGGAAAGATACAAGCTGTCACTACTCCTAGGATTAGACAGTCAGAAGGAACAGACAGTGTGAGTTATGCAAGAAGTTACCGTAAGAGCCACAGCGTTTGTTTGAAGGTCCCAGGAAACCTAGCCAATCCCACAGCATGGGAACCTGGAGAAAACATGACCCGTTTTTACACCATCCCCTTCTCCAACCTCCTGCATGTGTCCTACATGGATCAAAAATGATCTCAACCTAGAAAGCAAAAGAAAGTCATTGATTTTTTTTTTTTTAGTATAACCCTTTTTCTTACTAGAGTAAATGCAAGAAGAATATATGGGAATGAAGGACATAAAACGTGGAATATTTCAATTTTTGCAGAAAGCTAGGTAGCAGATTCAGACTGCAGTATTTAATCCTGGGAATAGCTCTTGTAACTTACCTTTAATTTAAGCATCAGATGCACTGTGTCTACTCTTGTTGATTTCTAGGAGCTGCAATTTTACTGTATTTACTAGCACTGAATATTATGCATACTTCCTTTACCTCTAGTGGATTAAAGTATCCTCTCTACTCTGCTTGTTTCATAACTGCTCATTTATCCATATGCCCTAAATATCCAGCATTAGTGATAAGAATTGCCACAACCTATACACCTGTTCAAGTTTACCAAGAGCATGCATTTCCATGTCTGCACTTTTTTTTTTTTTTTTTTTTTTTTTTTTTTTTTTTTTTTTTTGGTACTGGGAATCGAACTCACCATCGTGCACTTGCAAGGCAAGCGCTTATGCAGGTGAGCTAAATCCCCAAACCCATCTAAGCACTTTTGAAATCTTGCTATATTATGCTATTTTATTTCATGCCTGGCCTTTCTGTAAAGTTAATAGTAAAATATAAACCTATAAACATATAAAACCTCAACTCACAACACTGCTTAGTATTTGCACTTTTGATGGTCGCTTTGCAAGCTATTTAAACCTTGAGTACTTGGTGCTGCTTTAAAGCAACCAAAAACTTAAATCTTTATAGAAACAGCTCTACATGCAACGTAATGCAATTATCATCTCTAAAGGACCCGCTGTGAGGTGATATAAATTTTACACATGAGCATTATGGAATGTACCAGTAAAGAAAAATACAAAGATCTCTGTTCTTATGATGTGAGGGAAAAATAGGAAAAAACAATAAGCAGAAGAGGAGACATATCATAGAGCACAGTTGAGTGAGGTCAGTGTTATGTCACAAGGGAGACTGGAGAAGGGTACGGGAGGCTGGAATTGGGAAAGGTAAAGCATGGCATGTTGGATGCATTGCTCACAGGAAGCCATACATGAACAAAGATAGGAAAGGTGTGAGGACACGAGCAGCATGGACATCTGGCTGTCATGCTTCCATGGAAACAGGATAGGCACAGCATGTATAGAGTATTCACAGAATACCAGGGGTTCAGGCCGGAGCCAAGGGGAACAGTGAGACAGAGCAGTTCAGAATGAAAGATAAGCTAAGTTGGAGGTAGAAATGATATAAGATACCACGGGACACCGGAAGGACTTTATTCATTTAATCTACGCAAAATGCCAATAGGAATACTTGATCAGAGAAGGTTTTGATTGAACTTGTATTTTAAGTGTGTATTTTTGGTTGGTTGAAAGAGTACAGCAAAGCAAGAGAAAAACAGGGAGAGTTGTGCTAAATAATAAACTCTACAATGTAAAAGAACTTATTTAAAACTGGCAGGACAGAATCAAGAAAGTAAATAAGCTAACTTTTTAAAACACCAGTTTAATAATGTAATTTCCTTGGATATTGTATCAGGGTTTGATTAGCACTCATTTATTCCTGCGGCTACTTTTAAGTTTACTGAATAGCTACCATGTACCAAATGCTGTTTTAGATGATGGTAATGAAACAGTGAAAAAAGGCATTGGCCCTGGCCTCAGTAAGGCTGATGAGTTGAAACTGTTTAGGTCCCTGTGCTGTGTAATGTCACTGTTTCTTATCATCACTGTTTAGACGCAGTCATATTGTAGCACTTGACATCTCAAACTATTTCAGACCTATTTTTGAATGTTCCTGAATTCGGTCATTTCTCCTTACCTGAAATATTTGTCACATGCTATCCTCCTCTCCACCAAGGAATGTCATGTTGATTATTGTGTCGTCTCATTTTCCTTGAACTTTCCAAACACCATATTTGTGTTTTTGACATTGATCTCACTTCACACTGATGACAGCTATAAATGTACAGGTTTTCTTTGCTGCCTTGGGAACCTTGGAAGAGCAGCCTTCTTTATTCATCGCCAAGAGGATCCCAGAGTCTAACTCACAATGTATCCTATAGGAGATGAATTTGTGTTCATAATGATGATAGGATGAAGTTTGTTTCTGCAACACATTCAGGAATGTGTTGGAAAAATAAGACAGCAACAGGTAAGAGAATTAGAGGGCAGAAGATAACATAACCGAGGCCTCAAAATCCTTCATAGTGTGTAGCTGTGTGTGTGTGTGTGTGTGTGTGTGTGTGTGTGTGATTTGGTTTCCTGTAATATTTAAAAGTGGCTGTGGTGTTTTGGGACCATTTCATTTCCTGAAACCCATCCAGGACAAGCCAATCTTTGGTCTATAGCAATGTGTGTGTGTGTGTGTGTGTGTGTGTGTGTGTGTGTGTGTGTGTGTGTGTTTAATCGGTACTGGGGATCGAACTCACAACTGCCTGCTTGTATAGCAGGTGATTATGCCGATGAGCTAAATCCCCAACCCCAGTCTATAGCAATGTTAAAGGCTCAGAATCTGTGCCTAGCTGGTGAAAAATGCTGAAGAAACATTGGCTTCAAGTTTGAAGCTGCTTTGGTGAGACCATCTCCAACATCTCTTGAAAGATGAGACTCTGATTTGGACATTTTTTTTTTCCGTATCATGTTGGTCTGGGTTGAACCATGTTTTGTCTTAGTAAAATTCAGCTGTGACTAAATGGAGGATTTCCTACAGACAAGCCAGTTTAATTTTCCTCATTCATTTTGAATCCTAGGTATAGAGCTAAGTCTGAAAAATAATTATTTGGTCTCATGTTTTGAAATCATTTAGATTATACAGACAGTTTTCTGAAATTTTATTTAACTGTGAATTTAGCCAGGGACATTAAGTGCTTTGTTTATGGGTAAACAGCATCAGATAAACTTAACACAATCAGCTCTCTTGTGCAACCACTCTTTTGTGATGTGCATACTGGAGTTTTAGAAACTGATGCACAAAATTTCTACATAGCAGAGCTATCTGAATGCATGGCAGTCACTCTCACTATATTCTGGATCACCAATCTGTCTCCCTTTTACATAATCACTGCAGCAAGTTATAATGGAAGAAAAGGAGATTTGAGGTTGAAACTGACAGATTCAGCACTACCTGTATTACAGTTAGCTCTGTGACTTTAATTAAAGCATTTCATCTCGGTTCATTCCACTTTGAAATGGAAATATAACTTACAATTATTTGACCTCTCCCCTGGGAGGATCAAATGAGATAATACGTTGGAAAATAATTTTAAGGACTCTAATGCAATTAAAAATTCATTGGTTATTGTTATTGCTCTTTTTCTTTTTCCTTTGTATCTGTGGACCATACTGTCATGAGGTGCTATTGTGGTTATCATTTAGGAAACAAATTTCAAACTATTTAAACAGGACATGCACTATGGTTGCTTCAGTTATCTGGCTTATGCAAGAAAATACATATATGCAAACCTATACACACATGCACATATATAATATTGCAATCATAAATTCTCAGATTTATCATGAATTGCAGGCAGTTGTAGCATTTTTACAGCCTTATCTGGGTAATTATGAGAAGATATTTCTCATACTTCTTTAGTGTTCTAAAATATCGGAATTAAATAACTGTGTGTATGAATTGTACTAGTTCAATTAAATTGATCTTCAATTTACCTTAAATCAACAAATCCTAATTGTGTAGTCAGGGGCAACAGATGTACAAATAGGTGCATATTATGCATCTGCAACTTTTCTATGCATGGGTTTAAATATGTTTGAACTTTGTATTCTGTCAATAACCATCTTTTTTTTCCCAGTAGATCCTGTGACCAATGAATTCTTAAAATAATAAAATAATTATGACAGCATACAGAATTTCATTTTTATTTTATGTCAAGCAATGTGCTAATACCATGCAAAAATAATTTCTTAATTTTCTAATCAATATTTTAGAGTAGATGCTGTTGTTCCTTGATATTGGAGGAACTGATCAATATGGGACTTGTAAATAATGCAAGTTTTGTGCATTTCTTTTTAACATATGATTTTAACTACAATATTTATCTGTATCCAAATTCTTTAAATTATTAACATTACTGACACATTCACATACAATGATCACATTCATCATAGAGAATTCATCATAGGGTACATGATATATACTGATTTTTCTTTTTTTCCTGTTTCCTTCACTTTCCTTAAATGCTTTTTGAAATCTTTGTTTCCATTTTTTCTACTTTTCTGTTTTTCCCTTTCTTCCTTTCTCCCTCTAGTTCCTTATCCCATTTTCTTCATATTTCATAATATCTATTATATATTTTAGTTCGTATTTACACTTTTGGTTTCTTATGCAGAGAGACAGTGCAATAATTTTGCCTGTATGTCTGATTTATTTCACTTGAGAGTGCATCCATTTACCTAGAAATGTTTCAAATTTATTCTTCTTGATGGCAAAGTACTATGGCATTGTATAAAAAAATCCCACATTTTCTTTATACTCTTATC